TGTGATTCTGATTAAATGCAAAAAATTGAAAAATACATTTTCATTTCTTAAATTAGATGTCAAATTCCATGTATTTCCTGTCATTCCGAAAAAGAAAAGACAGTTTTGGAGGTTTAACGTTCTACTTTATGCATCTCTGCCCAGTGAATCGTCCAAAATTTGAGGAGAAAAAACAGGAGAATTGGGTTTGAAATCCTGATAAACTGAAAAAAGTAAACCACTTTAATTCAGTCTGAATTAAAGCTCTTCATGATGCTGGATTCAGGGTTATAAATGTTCTGATGTGAATCATTAATCAAAATATCACCATAAAAAATGCAATATAACTAAAACAAACATAATTCTGGATTTCTATCTGAATTCACACAACAGAAAAAACCCTCTTTTATCACTTGCTGTCACGGTAATTTATCAAAAGAGAAAGAAACTGGATTCAGTGGAGGGCAGAGTAAATGGAAACCGGGGCTTTAACTGTCCATCTATAATAATAATCTCATTGATAGAGCGACATTTGCCCCTTTCTCCCCTCGTCCCTCTCCTACACACACTCACACAGTTCAGCCTCGTCTTCCTCCAGAAGCATTACCATTTGCTCCGTGAGCTCCAATAACCGGGATTTTAAATGAGTGTTTATGTGTTTATGTGTATACTTTGGGTAGAAACCTCTTTATGTGTGTGTGTGTGAGTTAACGTCTGTCTGAGTGATGGGGTTTAAGCCAATGAATCCTCAGAGTGAAATCAGTGTGTGTGTGTGTTTGTGTGTGTGTGTGTGTCTATGTGTGTGTGTGTGTGTGTGTGTGTGTGTGTGTGTGTGTGTGTGTAGACGGGCTGGGCCCTCTGTAATGGGGCCCATGGGGTTTCTATTGGGTTATAGGCCGGTCTATGGGAGGAGAGGGATTCAGGTCTAATGGTCCCTGATTCGGTTACCGACGGCGATAATAACAACAGCGCGGACGGGTCCAGAAGAGGGGAGGAAACTTATGTCCTAAGTTGTTATTGTTCTTAATGTTTCAAAAACAGGAAGGCACAGCCAGAGGGTCCTGGGTTGGAGTCCCCGGGGGAACCAGGACCAATGGGTTCTGGGTTGGAGTCCCGGGGGAACCAGGACCAGAGGGTTCTGGGTTGGAGTCCCGGGGGAACCAGGACCAGAGGGTTCTGGGTTGGAGTCCCGGGGGAACCCAGAACCCTCTGGTCCTGGTTCCCCCGGG